TCGAATCTATAATTAAATATTTCTCATTAGTCAACATAAGTCTCAAGTACTTATATTCTGACAGTAATTCATGTAAATCGAGGAATAATTGTACACCTCTTCGGCATATATAAAAACATTCAACTCATTGATGTTTTGCTGAGGATGGAACCACTGGTGAATAATTGTACATTTTTTATCAGATTATTGTCTGTTATCTAGAAACCTTTTCTCTTGTTATAAATCATTTTAAATTCATAGCAGAATGAAACCACTTTCCTCTGCGCATGTCCTTACCAGCACAATCTGTGCACTCTGAACAAACACTATTCGTCATGAACGTTATATGTGGGACGAGTGTCGGCGTAGGGAGTACTGTAACAGATTGCATTCTGACATTTGTAAACATGATCTGATCTGTACTACTGTGACGAAGGCAGTACTGACGTCTTTTCACGTTCGTTACTACAAGCGACCTCTATATTTATGCGGAATGGTCTACTAAGAGATACGTCTCAGGGAAATGGTAATATGATAAAGAATGTCACAATAGTCAGCTGGAGGCCTTTGAAGGTATAGAAGCTGTAAAAGTTCAGCTTCGTTAATAATATTTTAGCAGCTTCGAAATAGATATCACAAGATATAAATTCCCTTCATTTCGGAAAGAGCAGCTGCCTACATAGAGAGATCGCTTTATGACAGTAAACTACGAGTATTTTGGAAGTTAAATACATGAGTTATAATCAAATAGTTTTGCAGATAATTGGTATGAGTTTTTAAATGATTTGTTTCAGGTTTCTGCTAGAAAAGAGATGAGTTTAGACATGCACTGGATGTTTATGGTTTTTGGTCTGTTGTATTACGCCACACTCAGCAATATTCCAGCTATATGACGACGGTCGGTAAATAATCGAGTCTGGACCAGACAATCCAGTGATTGATATCACGATCATCGATCCACGCAATTGTGTTTGATGACATGCATCAACCAAGTCAGCGAGCCTGACCACCCGATCCCGTTAGTCACCTCTTACGACAAGCATAGTCACCTTTGAAAGCAAGCATGGGTTGCCGAAGACCTATTCTACCTCGAATCTTAACGGGTTTATTATTAATGAGTTGAATGTTTTTATATATGCCGAAGAGGTGTACAATATTTTTTTATTATTCCTCGATTTACATGAATTACTGTCAGAATATAAGTACTTAAGACTTATGAGGACTAATGGGAAATATTTAATAGATTCGACCTTGTGTACATTTGCTACCAATTTTGTTCGTGCTCGAGTCGGATGTATAAAGCTTAATATTGATGCATATATACCTCTCATCACTTGGTTGAGGTCACTTCTTGATAACGGTGCAAGAATCCACATCATCGCTATATGCAATAACCACACGTTGCTGTCCATAAAGTACGTTTTCTTGCCCAAGACTCATGTAATCCATAATTTTATTGCAATAAAGCTGCAGTAATTATAGCTCTGAAATTGATAGCTAAGACATTGCAGTTAGGATCATCCCACAATAGCACGACACATCCACGCTGCTTGGTATTTTAGTTTTACATCCTTAAACCTATAAACGCGAGACCGTCTTCGTGTTCATGCATTCTGAAACTGATACAGTGTACATATGTATCAGTAGTCAGCTGGAAGAATGCATCATGATGTGTGTATTCAAAAACAACGATCACATTTAACAGTCACAAAAAAATAATAATGAGTTATCATATTTAACTTAAATGGTATGATTTACGTTATGGAAATATGAGGAAAACACATAACGGTACCTTCCAGCGTTTCCCGATACTGCGTTATCCACGGCTGCAGCTTGGTAACTGACACTGACACTAGGTCCAATTTTCTTCGACGATGGTGCCAACGGGAAAGGCCAATATGGCAGAGGTATCGGTGATGGATCAGAGTCGGAGATTAGATTAAACACACACATAAGTTGGGTCACTAGGTGATCGGGCAGGTTTGTGACGTGATATGTCTTTCCGGAGCACTGATTAACCTTCTGTTGTAATGAGATCGATAGTAATTCACACCTTCCGCAGGTGAGTAACGAGATTGGAAGCCAGCAATGAGAGTCGATAGAGTATGACAAATATGTATTATAGCAAAGCATACCCTTATCAGACAGACTGGCGTGTAGGATTAGAAGTCGAGAAATGTCATTAACTGCAATTTGGCCATGATAGATGAGCCTTGTTCATATCTCCTGAACTCACGGCTACGACTATAATGAGTCGTCTATACAAAGACTAAGGGAAATGAGGGGGAGGCGGGAGTTCTCTAAGGCGCCGGAATTCGTTACGCAATGCCAACATTAGGCGTGCTAGAAATCTATGATCGTGGGTTCAAATCCAAGTCGGGGCGGTCGGGTAGCCTAGTGGTTAAAGCGTTCGCCCGGGTTCGATTCCCGACATGGGTACAATGTGTGAAGCCCATTTCTGGTGTCCTCCGCCGTGATATTGCTGGAATAATGCTAATAACGGCGTAAAACCATACTCACTCACTTAAATCCTAGTTCCACCACAATGGCATCGCTCTGTAATTTCCTTCCACACCACGTTGACACGCCATGGTAGAACTGAAATATAACACTCACTCATTCATCCACCCACCTCCTTTGTGAGAAAGAAATGTATAACATTGTCTTCTTGCGCTGTAATACTTGGTATCAAACAAATATCCAATTCCCAACGACCTGATAAAATTGGGCGACTTAATATGAGTTATATAGCACACTGAGATACTATACCGCATTTGCACATGGTTACCCCTCTCAGACGCATTACACTTAAGACCTGTGAAGATTCCGGGGTAGAATAGGTCTTGCAGTAAAAGGCGACTATGCTTGTCGTAAAAGGGGACTAACGGGATCGGGTGGTCAGGCTCGCTGACTTGGTTGATACATGTCATCGATCCCAATTGCGTGGATCGATGCTCATAATGTCAATCACTGGATTGTCTGGTCCACACTCGATTATTTTACCGACCGCCGTCATATAGCTGGAATTTTGCTGAGTGCGGCGTTGAACAAAAAACAAACAAATATTACGCTTGACTCATGATCACGCAGTCACCCAGCCCTTGTTTTATCCCCTTAAGTCTGACAGAGAGTCAGGATGACAAATACCAAAAGGCGTTTGCAATGACGCGGCCGAGGATCGAACCCCCGACATCCCCACTCTGGGCACACGCTCTATCTACTAGACTAGTGCAGTAGTACATGTAAGCATACGCCGGCAGCAGTGACTGATCGAAGCAATCTGAGATGCGTCCAATAATATAGAAATATTACTTGTCGAAGTGGCACACCAAACACATGAAAGTTACATCTTTCGCACACAGAACTACTTGAAGTGTCCGTCAGGAGGTGACATGAATAACGACGACCTTTTCTCTCACTGTGGTTTGACCTGAAACACATCGATCATAACGCCTCTCCGTTTCTGTGAAGTTTAAAAGGATGTTGGTTGGTTTGTTGTTCAAGGCCGCACTCAGCAATATTCCAGCTATATGATGGCGGTCTGTAAATATTCGAGTCTGGACCAGACAATCCAGTTATTGATATCATGAGCATCGATCCACGCAATTGGGATTAATGACATGCATCAACCATTCAGCGAGCCTGACCACCCTACCACCCGTTAGTCGCCTCTTACGACAAGCAGGGGTTGCTGAAGACCTATTCTACCCATGATCTTCACGGGTATATTTAGGAGATAAACATACTGTGTTTTCAATGTAGAGCTAGGTTACCTGTAGATTTAACCCGGCTAAATTGAATTTGGAACCGAACGCGCAGCGTGAGGTTTCAAATGTTAAATTTAGCGGGGTTAAATCGACAGGTAACCTAGCTCAACATTGAAAACACAGTATGTTTATCTCCATTCTACCATGACTAAATAAAATGCGAACTCTTTGGTGTTAGCAAATATACTGAGTGAAGCGTCATGGGTTGAGTTCAGTGTTTTGAGTGCGTTATCGATCTGAATTACGGAATCACCGAAAAAAAAATATGGTGCTGTATATCCTCAAGCAGTTTGTTTATACCGTAATACTTCAATCGAACATATGACAGGCATTGGAAGCATATAAGCACGGCAACTTGGTAAGCAAACATGAGGTGGACATCCGTAAAGAAAACAAAGCAAGCTTTGCAAGGCTTTCGCTCTACATCGCACGTCACCATTATGACGTCATGCCGCTCATTGTGACGCAAAAGATATGACGTCACAGTCATATATAGAAAAGCGCCAAAATTCCAAACTCTGTTTTGTCTCCAAAACGTAAATACATTCCCTTTGTTGATTTCTGTCGTGTTTTTCTGCACAAAATGTATTGCCACACATCCTTTGTATATTGTATTAACCGCATCTGTGCATTTTGTAACCTGTAATTGCAGATATAATTATTTAAATACGCCTACCGGCAATGACTGAAAATAGTACCATTCTACGAATATTAGCTTCCGTGGTGAAGCGGCCGTCAAACCAGCTGTTTCAATCAGAGGGGGTTTATTGTGATTTAATAGCCTCTGATTGACCAATCAGAGTCGAGTAACTTCCAAATTCATGGTAGAATAAAGGATGACTGGTTTTTTGTGTGTTTGTCTTACTGAGTTTTTGTTAACCACACATGTACCCGTATACGCTCATGTATACTTTAGATGATGTATTCTCGAAATGTATGTGCGACATTAAAGGTCCATGTACAGATTCCCAGGTCATTTTCCCCAAGGTCTGATTCATACACATCTGAATTCATATGAATATTTATAATCTCTGTAATTTCACCTTGATTTGAATGAATTTATTACGAATATTACCATGTACTGTTGCCTACATAGACATGGCATTGGCGGTGTTTTTGTGTGTGGTGGAACATTGCGCAATGATTTTATATCACTTTACACTTTCAAGAATTTAATCTGCATTGGAAGCAACAACAAATGTGGGCTAAATATGTTTTAAAGTTTGAATTTGAACTTGAATCAATGACACGTACCTGTCTCAAGCTTCAGCTGTTCCGTGGCATGTCATCGTGTCTTGGTCCACACTTTCCTGCAATAGATAAACACAGTCCGTGAAGGCAAACACCCAACACGCACCACCGTCGATGTTCGCCATTTGTCGTTGTCGGTGTAGTCGCAGTAGGAGGAGGTTATTTCTGATCATTAAGGGTTCCGTTTACTCCTGCCGCATTCCTATCCGCGCGGACGTGTATTTAATTCAGTCTACCATTTATTTAATCGACCGTAGCCAAATCTCATAAGGGCAAATGTGATGACCCGTTCTGGAGATTAGACGGAATCTTGGACCAGCTCTCTGTTCATGTAAAGAAAATCCACCGTGTCTCACCAACCTCTTTCCCCACGAGTCAAATATTCTCGACTGCATTGCTTGGAGGGTTGGTCCAAAATAGGCTGATCCAGTGTTTACGCAAATCGTATTACGGAAAGCCCTGGGATGTAGAAAGACGGAGCCGTTAATGACTACAACATCGTCGTGCCCATGGAAGCTGGAAGAACCCTAAGCAATAGGCCAATAATGCCCCAAATCCCATCATTTAATACACTCAAATAGGAATGATCCGAGGATATGCGCTTTCCGACAGGAATATAATCGTTGTCCTTATTAATGTAGAGTGGCATAAATATGGACTGACATTACTTGATAGATGGATTAATTAATGACAAGGCTGTGGTCGTCACACGGAAAGATATAGATTTCTCTTCATCTCTTCGTCGTCATTTGAGTACACGACAAACTTAGCGCCATGCACTTTTGTTATACGTTAACACGGTCATCGATCGTTATGTTATTCCACTGTTAAGTGACAATCGGGTAGCATGGTGATTAAAAGTTCGCACGACATACCGAAGACCCGATTTTGTTCCCACCTGGGTAAAATGTTCGAACTCATTCCTGGTTGCGACACCTGGCTATTGTAATGTTGACAGCACTGTAAACCCTCCGTCTCGCACTCTCTCTTCCAGTCACTGTGGTATTCAATACATTGAACGGTTGAAAAAAGATTGTAACCCAAGTGTGCAACTTATACTTTATATTTAAACCTGAGCTAGCAGAACAACTGTGCGGCATCAGGCTTCAAATACGTTTTTATCCCCCCGGCATATAATGCGGGGGGACATAGCGATCAGCCAGTCTGTCTGTCCGTCCGTCCGTCCGTCCGTCCGTCCGTCCGTAATCATTTCCTTTTCCGGGGCAGAACTCGAAAACAATTCAGTGTATTTGATCGAAACTTGGCAAATCTATCAGTTACATACTGACGTTGTGCCTTTTGCTGTTTAGGAATTTTAGACATTTTTATTTTTTACGTTTCCATGGCAACAAGTTTTAATATAGGGTGGGTTCACTTATGGAGTAAAACAAATAAACTGTTAAATATTTCCATGCCAAACATTGCATGTCTACGAGATATATAAAGCACATACTGAACTGGTGCAATTTGATATTAAGGAAATTAATAAGTTTTAGAAATGTTTATATTAGAATTTCCATTGCAGCTATTTTGACATGGGCTAAGAGAAATGTTGGGTCACTTACCTGGTTTGGGACCATAACGTGTTAAAATGGGTGGGGGATATAGATGACTTCGTTGACAATACGCATGTTTAGTTATTGTTTCTTGTAATTTGTCATTTGTTTGCATAAAACCACAGAGTACAGAATTGCACATTTACTTGTGGTTACTTTACAGACGGGGGGGGGGGGGGGGGGGGGCTACCGAAAGGACATGCCATGCTTACCCTTTTCGCAAACACCTGCTTTAACTGGTTTTCAGTGATCCATTCACATAATATTCACTGCTATTTTGCCTTTTACAATGAAATCTGTTCGTCGGATAATCGAGATAGTTATTCCCTGGCTTGACGTTTTATGTGTTGGTTGGTTGCTTAACGCCCCACTATATATTCCAGCTATATGACGGCGACTGTAAATAATCGAGTCTGTGCTTGCATATGGTATATATTTTGACTTTTCTTTCCTTCTTTAGTTATCTCAACAGATACAGCATATATATATATATACATATGTCATGTCAAAATATGTGGTACATGTTATTCAAGAGGTATTAAGCTATTGGGGCGGTCGGGTAGCCTAGTGGTTAAAGCGTTTGCTCGTCACGCCGAAGACCCGGGTTCGATTCCCGACATGGGTACAATGTGTGAAGCCCATTTCTGGTGTCCCCCGCCGTGATATTGCTGTAATATTGCTAAAAGCGGCGTAAAACCATACTCACTCACTATTAAGCTATTTATGCATATGAATTCTTGCCTAATAAGTCAATGTGCCTGTATCAGTGTGTATTACTGATTTGCTTTTAAACAAAGTGTGGAAGGAAGACCAGAAACTAAAAAGGTTTGCATAGTTACAATTTGAAATGACATTACCTTTGTAGCATTGTTATAATTCATTTTATTACTTTCCCGTGAAGAGATCACCCGTTTAATAAACATACAGCTTTATTACACATTGTGTAATACCAAAACGCGTGCTTATGTACTCTCGGAACACGTTTCACGAACAAATATTGAAAGCTCTCAACATCCCTTGGCGTATTCAACGACATTGTGTGTGGAGATGATAGATCACTGGGAGGAGCTTATGCACACTCGATGACCCCAGCAACCTTGTTGCTAGGCTGACGTCACATGGCATTGTTTCGCCGATGGATCTTGCAACAAAATTCAACAAATTACGTCATCGGGTATTGTGACGTCATTGTAAACTTTGAGCTGCAAGGCCCCGTTCCACAAGGCGATCGTACTCTAGCGCAACGAGAGTCTTTAGTCTAAGTTAAATTATGTGAGTTGTGATAGCCTTAGCACTACGATAATTTTGTGGGACGAACGCCTGAATTCTAAAGGTGGACCATTGTATGATATTAAATTCATACGTTTCAACTTTTGACGTGTTTGAAGTATTATTCTGTTAAACTCAATTGGATTATGCCATGGATCGTGTAGGTGTCAGCCTATTTACACTCAACAGTATAATTCTAAAAACATTATAAATGACAAGTAATAAATAAAATACTAAACTCGCTCTCGTGTAAAACCAATTTTATGAAACTCGTGAATAGTTGTGGTATCTGACTCGCTTTCGCTCGTCAGATACCAGAACTATTCACTCGTTTCATAAAATTGGTATTACACGGGAGCTCGTTTAGTATTCTATATATAGGGGCTATATTTTTAAAATGGTTCCTTCCACAACGGTTTTTTATTCAAATGTAGGAGTCGACACGAGCGCCAATGTGTCGCAGTTTGATTTACAACGCACTTCTACATGGCCACCATCAAAAAATGTTTTTAGATATACAACCAATATCTTGCTTTTTCACTCGCCTCCAAATAAGCATACTTTATTTTATCAAAAGCTATTTTTTTATGAAGACATCTGATCGAAATCATAAATCCGACAGCGCCCTCACAAATTACCTTTTTTTTATCTTGTGAGTCAAAAAGACTCCCGGTACTCAAATAAAACATAACAACGCAGCTGAACCAAATTCAGATTCCAGCATACACTCCCATTCACTCTATACATCATACATAATGTTTCAATTGTCATATCGTTCTGTTCTCATCAACACGCGTGCGGGCATTGTTTGTGGGGCACTGGTTGTTCATTACCGTGACTTACGTTGTTCTGATTTACGTTCTTATATGAATATCGCCCAACAATACGGGGATTCGTGTCTATGTAAAAGTATGGGCGTATACGCGGGAACCTGGAGTCATCACTGATTTTAGTGATCCATTCATATTGTCATCACAGTTTTGTCTTTTACACCCAGTGGAATCTGTTTCGGAAGATACTCGAAACTTTTTAATTTCTAGTGAGTGAGTATGGTTTTACGCCACTTTAAGCATTATATTCCAGGAATATCACTGGGGACACCAGAAATGGGCTTCACACATTGTACCCATGTCGGGAATCGAACCCAGGTCTTCGGCGTGACGAGCGAACGCTTTAACCACTAGGCTACCCGACCGCCTCTTTTTTTATTCCTTTTTTTGAACGTTTACGTTTTATATTTGGAGGTTGGTTGGTTTGTTGTTTTACGCCGCAAACAGCAATATTCTAGCTATATGATGGCGGTCTGTAAATAATCGAGTCTGGACCAGACAATCCAGTGATTGACATCATGAACATCGATCCACGCAATTGGGGTCGTTGACATGCATCAACCAAGTCAGCGAGCCTGACCACCCGATCCCGTTAGTCGTCTTTTACGACAAGCATAGTCGCCTTTTACGGCAAGCATGGGTTTGCTGAAGACCTATTCTACCCCGGATCTTCACGGGTCTAATAATATTTGTAGAACCGGACTATTAATGCTTTCCACGCCAAAAGACGGACCCTGGGTTTAGTTGCAAATCAAATGAACTATACAGCAACATAGTTCTAGGCACTCTCAGCAGCTATATGACAGCTCTACAGGCGGAGCCAATATTTGAAGATTTGAATAACAACATGGAAAGAAATTTGACAGATCTCATCTCGAAATATATTTCCAAATTGATATTAATACGTTCTATATTTTGCAGGTTTCCGTGTTTTCCGGATAAAACTTCGAAATTTATATAAAAAGAGATGCGTCTCAAGTTCAGGATGTCCAGAGACAAGGCTAAAGTCGATACTCATGAAATCCTCTACTGTCGACTCACAGACATATATCTTCATGACACGCAATCTCACTGTACCGGAATAAAGGTCGGTGAAGCTCAATCCATAAAACGTATTTGTTCAAAATAGAGTATAGTTTTAGGTTTTATGTCGTTTTCAAGGACAAATTTACATAAGAGACATAAAGGTTCTTTTCTATTCCTATCAGTGACTTACCATCAGGAACACCCACTCGAACACGACCTTGGAGTTCGGGAGCATCTCTAAAGGTAAAGTACAAATAGTGTTACGAAACTTTAAGCAAATATGATATGGAATAACACTTTTAGTTAATATAAAATATCAGTTATATTGACTTGTAAAATCCACAGTGACGCAGTGAGTCTGTATATATAGTGTTGACAGATCAAGGATAATATACGGGATTCGAACCAATGACCGGCATATCCCTGCGCAGGTTTATCTGTATGTAGGATATAATACGCCCGTGAAGATCCGGGGTAGAATAGGTTTTCAGTACCCCATGCTTGCCGTAAAAGGCGACTACGCTTGTCGCTTGTCGTAAGAGGCGACTAACGGGATGGGTGGTCAGGCTTCCTGACATGGTTGATCCATGTCATCAATCTAAATTGCGCGGATCGATACTCATGATATCAATCACTGGATTGTCTGGTCCAGACTCGATTATTTACAGACCGCAGCCATATAGCTGGAAT